TCAGACCAGACCCTCCTGCACCAAAGCCTGAGGTCTCCAGGGAGACTGCAGGGTGCACTCCTGGGAACAGCCCCTCGCCCAGGGCGCCTGCCCTGCCGGGTACCCACAGCCCTGGGGCCGCAGCCGATGGACAAACGCTGGCTGGGACCAAAGTTTAATGGTCAGTGCTGCTGCAGGCCGCGGAGCTTGGCGCCCGGCCCAGAGACCGGGTTTCCTTGTGTCGGGCAGCGGCGCCGCCGGGCTTCGACCTTCACCTGGCGCAGGACTCCTCGTCACACTGCTGGGGAGGGCTGCGTCAGGCCAGCAGCGCAGGGTGGCCCGCACAAAGGGACGGAGGGACAGGAGGCTGCAGGGCAGGCTGAGGGCGGAGGCGGGACGCAGACCTGCCAGGAGCAGCAATGGCCTGAAGCCTGCAGGTCAGCTCAGCACCTGGACAGGACCAGGCTCCTGGGGGGGGGGGACAGCAGGCAGCACCTGCTCAGGCCCAGCTCACCCGGGGCAGCGCGCTGGTGTGGACCTCCGCAGAGATGCCCAGAGCCTGCAGGACACTCTCCTGGGGCACGTAGTCTCCTGGGGACTTCTGGACGAAGTGCAGCAGCACCTTGTCACCACCTGCGCAGTGGGCAGGGGCCAGCGTGTGGGCAAGGCAGACCCAGGAGGGGGGGTTGTCCAGTTCCCGCAGCCCCCGCCCCCGCCCTGCCCACCTTTGGTGACCACCAGCAGCCCTCCACTCTGCAGCAGGTCCCCAGACAGGTTTCCCTGGATGCCCACAGCCTTGGCCTGAGGGGTGTGGCCCAGATCAGCCCCAGGCAGCCCCCAGGACACCCCCCCAGGCCGGCCTGCCCCTGGCGGTCACAGACCTTGGCAGCTACATCTCGCACGGGCTTCCCCAGGGCGGCCGGCAGGATGCTCAGGCCGCTGTACCTGCGGGGAGACAGTGCCCAGGCGCCACACGGCAGCCCCACGCCCATGCCCAGGAGTGCGCAGACCGCGCCCACAGGAGCCCTCCCATCTCCAGGAGCCCTGAGCAGGCACGGGGCAGCAGGCCAGTGGGCAGCCCAGCCCACAGAAGGGCCTGCCAGCCCGAGCAGCCATGAAAGCAGGGGACGCCAGCCTCAGCGCTCACTGGCCAGGAACCCCACGGAGGAGGGCGTGGACTGGGGCCCGGGCTGGGTGAGCGAGCATCTGAGACACCTGGTGCTGCCCATCAAGTGAGGCCTTCCGCGCTGGCACAGGCACCTGGCAGGATGGCCCCAGCCTGGGCCAGGCACCTCACCCGGCACCCAAGGGGCAGGTCCTGGTAGGAAGTCCCGCACTCAGACAGCCTCAGGGAGGAGGCGGCGGGGAGGGGGAGCAGCTGCCCCACGCCAGCGCACCTCTTGAAGCCCAGCTCCTTGTAGATCTGCTTGCTCTCGTCCAGGTAGAGCTCTGGGAGCAGAGGCTGCAGGTGAGATCGGCCATCCTGCCCAGCACACCCACCTGTGCCCAGCCCCGGGGCCACCGCCAGTTCCCAGGGCGCAGAGGGCAGAGCAGGGCTGAGTGTACCCAGTGAGAGCAGAGGACAAGGCCCAGGGGTGCCCGCAAGGGGCCCTGGGTCGTCTCCCCTGGCTGCTGGGGTGGGGCGGGGGTGGAGCTGGCAGCCAGGCGCCCAGCTGCGTCTGCTCAGGGTGGGAGAACACTGGGGAGGTCGGGGTCCCATCTACAGCACCCAAAGGCGCGGGGCAGGCTTGCAGCAGACCCAGCAGGGACGAGGGTTGCCAGTGTCCTCTGGGCCCTGCCACCTGTCCGCCCCTGGGAGGACGAGGCAGGGGCAGCGCTGCTCTGTGGGAGGTGAGGGAGCCCGCACATACCCAGGCAGCTAGCTCACGGGAGGGGGGAGCGGGGAGCGGGGTCCGGCAGGGGCCCCGAGTCTGGTGGGGGGCTGCGGGCGGGCCGC